AAGGGATGAACCAGTACAAAGTGGTGTTGTACTGGTACAAAGGCCTTCTATTTAAGGATGAACCGGTAGTACCAGTACAACCACCTTCTGTCTGCGATGAACCGTCGTATCGGTACAAGTATATTCTATCACTATAGAACCGGCACGACTTGTATCAGTACAACCATAGTATTTTCACCATTTTGTCATATTGCCTTTAATTCATTAACCACTCAACTTTAAAGCTTTCCAAGGCATTCTAATGGGTTCAAATCAATCCTAATTTGTTTTATTTGCCAACAAACACATCACTAAACCTAGGGATTTATTTACATTAAATTAAATAGATGGGGGTTGGGAATGTGTTGTTTCGAGTGTTTTTACTCATTTATGCATGTGTATACATGATAGAATACTCATATGCCTTGTGATAACGTATGTGTTAGGTTCAGAGGCGCCAACATCGATGTCGATCTCACCTTAAGGTGTCAAAAGGAAAGTGATTTTGGGTTTGGAATTTAACCCGAGATGAGTATATTGATTCATATTGATTGAAAATGTGACTGAATGTTTAATAGCTATACTTATGTGTAAATAGCATAGGGAATGATTTGTGAATTGGTTTGGTATGAACTTAAGTTTAGTTATGGGTGATTATGTGCTTTCATGATGTTATGGATTGTCGAGACTCCCGAACATAAATGTGTAGCGATGTGATTGCCGAGATATCTAGACATAAATGATAGCGAAGTATTTGTCGAGACTCCCAAGCCGAAACAAGTAGTCGTTAATTCTCGCCGAGACGTCCAGCTGTTATTGAATAATCGGATAATGGTTTTCAACTTTCATATGTGAGATTTGTTATAACTGATATGCAGTGATATATTTTCTTTCTTAATGTCTCGAATACACTCACTGAGCGTGTGGTTTACTCACCCCCCAACCGATATTTATTTTCAAGTGCTCAGAGTTAGGCAATGGTCCACTGAACAATCTAACTTGGCTTAGAGATGTTGATACCAATGGTACAAGATGTCATGTATATCATAATTATACATAGTATGGTGCCCTAATTATGTTGTAACGTTGTGCTATGTAAATGTCAGGTTTTCTTATTTGAGTGAATGGCTTGATTATTATTGCATAGATTAATTACCTTAATTTTAATTATGATTAAAAGGTTAACAAAATTAAGGTTACCCACACCCTATCTCTTTTGTGGGATTGGGTGTGACAAAGCAAGTCTTGAATACCACTTTACTACATATACAATTCAGTTTCCAGAGTCTCGGATAAGATTAAAAATTAGTAAAACTTTGGAAGGCCCTTGAACAAAGAAGCAATGCAAAAGGCTAAAATGGACTAGGTCTGGCAACCAACTCCTCCAAGTCCAACCGGAACTCTCCACACGACCAAACATAGTTGACTGGATGGTGCCAGTCAACCATAACACTGCATCCTAGAAAACTTGGTTCCAAATTCATAAAACTAAGTGTAAGACCCTTCCCTGCCTAATTTGTTTTAGAAATTTATGAAGGAAAAAAAAAAGCTTCAAAGACTAAATCAACTTAGCAGACACAGTTGAGCTTTGCAAACTCTTGGTGTTCCAAGTAAAGTGGCCTAAAATTTTTCTAAAGGCCCATCAGACTAAGGGATGAAGAGATCATAAGCCTTGACGACTAAAACACATAGTTAAAATTAAGGAAACCACAATATGTGCTAAACTTGAAAAACTTTGTCCAGTCCTTAAACTCTTCTTTATATGGATGATGGATCTTATTAAAGCATTCATTAGCTTAAAGCAGATTAGGAATCTTGGTGGCAAAGGATGGCCACTTTAGATTGAGTGCAACTAAGACATGCGAGTGTAGAAAGTAATAGAATGATTGGGTACTTCTGCATAGGGAACTGCCTTAAAGGCATGAGAGAAGTAAATAAATGTTAAGTGCACTACTCAAGATTCAGAGTGACAATCCAGTCAACGAACTTCCAAGTTGGATATCCACCATTTGTTAAAGATAATGAAGTGAGCAGCGGTGAGATCATTTCCAATAATTATGTGCATATCAATGCTTAGTTTCCTTGGATGACTGAAGGTTGACCACCTTAGGAAGTTTATAGGAGCTTGTAATCTCTTTTCAGTCAACAAAGAGATTGCTTTAGGACTCCAGTTTAACTGAGAGGGCATGAGAAGCAGTGAAGCACATATGAGCTATGTGCACAAAGGGAGAGTAATTGAGTTAAGATCTGACTAGTTGACATCCTACATGCCTTACTTTCTGTCTTCTCCAACCATTCAGTCTAGCATTTATTTTTCAGTCAATTGGTATATTTTTGATATTGCATCTCATTTGTCTGTCAAACTCTTGGGCTTACACACCTAGAACTAAATTTATATTTTAAGTCCTAGGTTTTAATATTTTAGATTTTTCATATTTAAATCCATGTTTTTGTTTTCATTTGTTTATTTTTAGCACACTTAGTCACTACACCCCATGATGCTTAGGATGCATAATCAGTAAACACATCATGGATGCCCTTCAATACCCTACCCACACATAGGTGGATTTGGAACCTTAGGAAGGTAATTGGCTTTGCACTTCAATGTGGTATGTATACCACTGATGACTAGAGAGCGAGTGTAAACCGTTATCCTAAATATCTATTTACTGCTGGCATACATTGATGTGTTGCATGAAATGCATTTAGCATATATATTCATACTACTTGCATCACCCTCATACACCACATGGTCCTTGATTCCTTCATTGGATTTTTTGAACTTATCATCCCCGTGTACATTGTATATTCGATCTGCTTTTTTATTATGGGGACTATGTTACTTTTCTATTTTGTTTCATTTGGTTGGATTCCTTTGAATTTGGTGATTTCTGAAAAGAGGTGAAGAAAGGTATTTTAGTTGTTGTTTGCTCTGCTTTGCATGTGTGTTTGCAGACTGAGTTGGATTCATGGTAGTCCTTCACACAGACATTTGCTTGGACTGAAGCAACAGAGTTGGGCTGAGGGGGAGATGGCAATTTCATGACTTGTATTTAGCTCTAGTGTTGTTAAGAGGACATTAGTTGAAAAGCCAAGGACAAACCTCGCCAAGTATCTGAGGATTCAAAGTGTCATGCAGTCTATTGAGCTTTGTAAAGTGGACTACATCAACATTGAATATTCCGGGAACTTGGGGATAGTTTCGTAGTATAATGAGGACACAAATTAGGCATAGACACATTTCCCGAGACACTACACCACAAAATGGACTTGGTTAGAGTGAATAGTAGAAAAACAAGTATATCAACTTGCAATCAACCAGCTGTAGTCAACTGGCAAGGCTCTGTTTCTACAAAAAAACAGTAACCATTAAACTAATTGTTACTCAAAAAATATCCACTCATCTTCTTCAGATGAGTTTGATGGTTTAGTGTTTTCCCTCCCACTTAGACACTTCCACATGCACTAGGAGAGAAAAAAATTGAATTTCCTACTTTAACCTTCCATCCAGGAGAAACAATGACTAAAAAAAAGAGAAGCAATGAAGCCTATACTTCTAAAGCATCAAATTATCCAACATTGAGCACGTAAAAAAAAAACATTTCCTTCATACCCTTGTGTGCTCATTCTACTACCACATTCTTTTTCTTGCACATTTATTGGTGACTAGGCCTAGTTCCAACGGGAGCTTCTAAGCTATACAATAAGGAGCTGTTTGATAACACCACTTAAGACTTAAAATTGAATACTTTAAGCACTTAATAAATTAAACTCATTTGATAACTTAAAATTCATACTACTTAATATTTTAAAAACTTCTAAAAAATAAAATAAAATTTTAAATATCAAACCACCTTCTTATCACTTAATGCTGAAAATGTTACTCAGTAAAGATTTTATCAATTTCTTATAATGGACAAATATACCCTCACCACCATTGTGTCATCGTCGCCGCCACCACTACTATTGTGCCACCGCCACCGTCACCGTCACCGTCACCACCACCATTGTGTCGCGATCACCACCACTATCATTAAGTCACTGCCACCACCACCGCCACTACTATTGTGTCTCCGCCGCCACCACTATTGTGTCGTCGCCGCCACCACTATCACCACCATTGTGATAGTGGTGATAGAAATAAAGCAGTTGCAGAGAGATAGTTAAAGAGAAAGGCATAATTAGAATAATAATAATTTTCAGACTTCAACTCCTTATATTTATCAAACAATTTGATTAAATTCAATCCTTAAATTTCAGTTAATACCAAACAGTTTGCGAATTAAAAAATTCAGCATTCAACACTTAAAATTCAGTATTTAGTTTTCAGTGTCACCTTTCAGTTTATCAAACACCACCTAAGTGTATTGCGTCAGATTGAGACTAAGATAGTGGACTAGCCGCATGTTGGTGAGCCATAGAAAACCTTCAACAAACCCTAGGTAAGTCCCTTATCAAGACATAGTTAAGTTGGCCGGTGGATCATAGAAAACATTGAAAAGTTCTAGATAAAGAAGCTTCTTGGTTAGGTTATCGGTTAGCCTAGGAAACCTGAACCAAATCCTTTGTAAGGGCCTTCCAAGGACTTACTTCCGTGGACTAGTGGATTGGTTAAGTTGTAATTCACAAACTTGTTGGAATTGGCTTATGATCACATATAGTGGAGTGACTCTCACCCAGGAGGTGGATGAGTGCACGTAGCTTGAGGTGGCGGATGGGCCAAACTACTACACAATGTGTGTTCATGTTCTTTTATTAAATAGTTGGATTATAGCACGCTTTACTGTTGTCTATATTGATCCTGTATGTAAATTTCGTACAATATTAGATTTTCACGTAATGGAAATACTAACTGCAATTGAACAAGTCTTTATGCTTTGTTTGATTCCATATTTGATATTTAATGTTGGTGAGCATGTATTCGTACACAAATAGAACTGTATAGTGAACTATTGAGTTGAATTAGCAAACATCGATAACAGAAAAGTAGCTAGCAATCAGGGAGTTACTATTCGCAGTATTTGATCATTCTCCTCAATTGAACAAACTGATCCTTGTCACTTAACCCCAGGGTAATTGAGTTTAAAAGAGTTAATCTTTGATATTTGTGTAATTAATCCGCACATTTACAATGATACTGAGCTTACACAACAGTGAGTGAAATGCTGTAGAATGACCAAAATACCCCTGATTGAGAATCAGGAGAAAAGTGACCAGAAACACTTGAACTGAAGTTCAGTATTCGCAAGAAATTCCAGTAGTCCTATTCACCCCACCTACCCCTCTAGGGCTCATTTCACTCCAAACTGCTCTATGTAAATTAAGTTCAAGGAATAACATCCTTTCTCAAGCTTCACAACTCAGTGTCTAGTGGTCTTCCACTTTACCTTCAGCATAATCAGACCACTAGTCCATAGTTTAAAGCTGATGTTGCAAATTCTAATAAATAACATCATTTTTGCATAATAAAGAGACTTAAACCATTAAATAAGGAAAAGTTAACACTCCATGTTTGTTCCCTGTGGAAGCCTCAAATCCAAAAGGCATCAGTTTGATGATTTGAATGCTCCCTGTCCCAAGGCCCAAACATAGGAATAAGAAAATCTAGCTGCAGAAAAATCTCACCTTAACATGGTAACTCACATATGCATGAAATGTCAATAAACTCCAGACAGTTCTGTCCAGCTTTTTGCCTTCTACATGGCGAGGGAAAATAACTGCATTGAAAATAAGTATAAGTAATTATAGTGAGAAGAAAAAATTAACAATTAACATAAACTATCTAATTTTCTTCTATTACCAAAACTAACAAACCCAGCGTTTACAGACGATGCTTCCACGGGAGCCCCCTCCAGTTCCGAAGGAGAAGAAAGTGACCATAAACAAGGAGGGGCATTGTTAAGTCCAGTTGTACACCTTGCTTCCACAAATTCCTAAATTATAACCCAAATGTAAAATTTCAAAAAAAAAAAATACCCAAATTCGCGTACTAGGAAATTTGTGCATAGAGAAGATAATATACATTTACATGTTAGACATCAAACAAAAAGTTTGGGTACCTGACGGTCAACAGGTATGCCTATTACCCACAAATCAAAGAAATTGTCCAGAGAGGGGAGAAATTGGCTCACTACCTCAAAAATTCCTTAAAATACATTTTTTTATATTCCTCAATCACGAGCATTCAGAAATCGTATCCATGTTGCACAAGCAATATTACATATTATATATAAAAATGGCAAAAAAGAGTGGACAGTATGATCATTCAGTCCATCCCATTTCCTAAATTAGGAAAGCAGACAATTATATGCACATGCATACGAGTGCCCCATCTTGTAATGTTAAGGCGCCCCCCGGGGGGGGGGGGGGGGGGTGTTAGTTCTACAAACTAACCGAGAAAATTAAACAGTCAATCTAAGGCACTAGGTTAATATATTTTTGATATTATGCTCTGACTACCTGTAGGAAAGAAGTTGCAAGAACAGTATCTACGGAATGCTTGAATCTCATAGGAAACACCACGGTCACCTTTTCTGCCTGCCAAGAGTAATTGCAGTATGTTACTCGGCCAGCATTCAAGAAGGCTCCTCCCCTCTATTTCAATTAACATAACTACAATGAGGAGACACAAGCCCCACAAAAACTTGAGACAGAAATATACAACGTACTATGCAATTCAAAAAAAAAGGGAAGATAAAAAAATAAAAAGCGCAGCCCAATGCACAATTGCTACAAACCAGAATCTGGTATGGTCAAATATACGCAGCCTTAACCTTGCATGCAGAGGGGTGGATTTCATGGAATAAAGCACTATCAAGAAGAAAAATAACAATGGGCAGAAAGAGAAAGCTATTAAATAGAAGATGAAATAGAACTTTTTCAACCAAAGATGAACTACTACCTGCAGAAATTAAATTCACAAGGGAAAATAAAAATTGCTGAAAACATATTTAAAAGTTAAAAAACTTCTGTTTTTGAATGAAGGTAGTCTCTTGAACAGAACTTTTACTTGAGGAACAAGGAAAAAGGACTCCTTTGGCCGATGCACAAGGGCAATAGGCTTATTGACATCCGGAACAACAGCCCTTGAAGCAAGATGTTTCAGAACTACCCTCAATGGGGCACCCAGTACCACTTCCCTCACAGATGCAATCTTTACCAGAAGAGCATGTTTGTATTCTGCATAATATTAACAAGTCGCAACATCAGAGTAGCAATATGCACACATCTCAAAGAAACACAACCAAAACTTAGTAGTGAAATTTTGGAGAGTCTGTGATGTACTAATAACCCTAGAAAATGGGACTTTAACAATCATATAAGGCACTTAGCATCTACATAGGAGATACATCTTTGTAAAATCAAATTCTGACATGCAATATCACTCAAGATATTTAGCATACTGCATATATAGCATAGAATAAAATGCCAGAACTATAAAGAACAGTGCGGCAATCATATCATAGAACCCATGCTCAAATATCTCAGCCTTCGTTAGGAATACTAGAAATATAAGGTATGCCAATAACAAAGTTTGATGGTCTACATGGGCATCCCCCACAATAGAGTAAAGAAAGGGGAAGGTACAGAGCTCAACTCTTCATTCTCTTCGTAGTCAAGCTATGGTTTCAAATAGCTGAGGCAGTAAAAGAGCCACTACCCATATGCCCCCTTAGAGGGCACAACAACAGCAAAAAGAAAAAAGATCACAGACAGTGCCACCACCTTAGGGATTTTGTTTTTGCGGTACATCACCTTAGGGATTTGTGGCAGACATTTTTCGCTTATCTTTTAATTTTCCCCTTAGTCCGTCGGGCCACTTCAAATGTCCTTGTGGTGCTTAGGTTTGATTGAAAAGGGATAACTTATAATGGCACTGGGGATCTGGTCCCTTTACCAGATAGTTCCATGGATCGCTTGAAAGCTTGCCTGATCCACAGCACTACAAATGGCATTTGGCCCACGTATGCTTTTTATAGAAGCATTGAAATTGCTTTCCGATGTGGGATGGGGTGTTAACATTGAAGTGCTTGCCTTTTTCTCCTCATACTTTGTAGATGTCCTTTCAAACTTTTTTATCTTTTTGTTTGGTCATCATAATATTACTACTTGTGCCAATCTTCAACGCCCATTGTGGATTTGTTGATATTCTATTAGATATTATAAATTGTCTAAGAAAATCGATGATTTTTGTGAATTATAAACCTAATCCTATCCTATATGTTTCAGCACAGCCATGTCAAGCTCATAATGACCTTAGAAAAGGAACTCGTTGAACCTTCATCTGGGGGAAGTTTTGACAAGTTTAGTTTCACCGTGAGGTTGAAGCCATCTCTTGGAGGATCAAGAATTTGTACAACCACACCATATGCCGCTTTTATAGCTTCTATGGCTCCGAGCGGAAGTCCACCAAAAAAAACAGTTTCTAGCGGTGGCGTCGGTAATGATACTGATAGTAGCAGCAGCTGGGGATTCTTCATCGCCGCCTGCAAGATATTTTGTGAATCATATACCATACATCGGTTTTATTTTATTTTTATTTTTTTTGTATTTCCTAGCATGACACCAAAAGCCCAAACTACCAAGAAAACTATCTGAATCTCCTTCCACAGAAAAAGATTGTAGGTTACCTGAACATGGTAACGAACATCATCAAATTCCACCCAGTGGCAATCAAGTTCGATTCCTTTCTCAAGACTGTAAGTAAACAGGAAAATCATCAGCATACTTTGACAGGCAACAGGTCATTCAAGTAACAAAGGATTCTTCAGTTATTGCTTGTGTGTTTATGCAGTCTCGGCAGTAGTTGGTCTGAAGGAAAATGCAATCAGCATAATACAAAGCTTTTGAGGACCTAAAGCAGGCAGTGATTGATGACCCCTGCAGTGCCATGATCGGTCCGTACGTCCTTCTTGAGGATATTTTTTAGTTGAGGAGTGGACACAAGATTTCTTGAAGAAACAATGGCACAGACAGACACGACAAGGACATTAATAAACATATATGCATAGATTTGCACATATATATATCTACATATATATATATATATAGGTATTGATCATAAAAGAATATTTACAATATTGTCAATCTATCATTCAAAGCTTCATACATTACTTAACTTCACAACATTGTTACAAGAAATCACAACAAAGTAAAAACTTTAATCAGAAACAATGGTACAGATACAGACATGGCAAGTACATTAATTAATATATATGTATAGATTTACATATATTTATGTGTGTGTGTGTGAATATTAACAGTATTTAAATCATATCACATATCAAAAAACTCAAAAATCATTATCATGTGTAACATCAATCTATCATTCAAAGCTTCATACATTACTTAACTTCACAACATTGCTACTAGACAACAACAAAGTAAAAACATTAATCAAAACATTTGACTTTTCAGCATGGTGGGAATTTCATTGGCTCTCACCGGATAGGGATTGCCAGATGTCAGTATTGTGGGAAATAAAACTTCTAGTTTCCTCTCTGTCTTTGCCTCTTCCTATTTTTGGATGATAAGAGTCATTGGGGATATCATATCACTTTTTTCTATACTTATCAACAGTTTATTGAATCAAGATTCATGTGACAAATGAAGATGGGCTTTTTGAGACTTCGGGTGTCTTTTCTAATAAATCCTTCTTTGATTCCTTGGTGAATAAATCTTCTTGTCCTATCTTTGTCCTGGCTTTGATGAAATGGAAGGCTAAAGTACCCATTAAAGTGCAAATTTTGCATGGACTGTTGCACATGGTAAGATTATCACTAATGATATACTTCAAAAGAGAAGACTACGTTCTTATCATTCCCCCTAATGATGTGTGATGCATAAATGTGCTTTTAAAAGCATTGATCATTTCGTTTTACATTGCCTTATTGCCTTGTCCGGTATAAATTGTTTAGCTTGGTGTGTTTGAGCTTGGGTGATTCTCGAGTCACCCACTTCCTTGTTTGTTGAAAATTTGAATAGTTTGGGAGGCTTGATAAATGCATCACTCTTTAGGATTGTGCATTAATTTCTACTTTTTGGGTTATATGGCAGGCTCGGAATGCAATAATTTTTGGAGATAGTAGCAAGTGGTTGGAAGGATTATGGGATCGTATTCATTTCTAACGTCATTTCTCGATTTGGTTTCAAAGGAACTCAATTTTTTGCTATTTTAGCTGGATGTAGAGCTTTATGTGATTTATAGGCCTATTATGTGTTCTAGCTCTTTTTCCGCGTTGTTATTTTCTAATTTTTGGTGGGATTTCTTATCCAACCATTGTTGATGTACTTTTCAATTTTTATTAATACAAGAGTTTCGTTTCCTATCCAAAAAGAGTTCTTTATTATTTCAAATCTCATGGTTGTAAGATGGTAGCTTCTTCTTACTTTTTTTCTAATTTAGTTTGGATCCACACACAATGGTTTTTCATCGTTCATATTTGACCCCAAATTTCTTCCAGACTAAAAAATGCAACATGTGCTTAAACGGGTTCACAAAGCATCCTAAACGTAGCCACACGCATCCGAGATGTTTGTGCCACAATTATACATAGCCTCGGAGAGTGGTCCATGCTTCTCAATTAAGAATAAAATAGTAAACCAAAAACCCAAATTACAACCACCAAGAATAGCTAAACATGAGACAAGCAATCAATAGAAACAAAAAGGCAAATGGAGGCACTGTTCGTAATTATATCCTAAAAAAGTTACAAAACAAAATACCTTCTACCCAAAAGCATAGTGATTTAGTCATAAATCAACCAAGTTGATGACTTTGATCATCATACAATTTTGGTGGAAGGATTTCACCAAAAAAAGAAATATAAATCCATAACTCAAAAAAAAATGATCAGATTCCAATTCAGAGTCTTACTTTAGTCACCTCAAAAGGGATACATTTCGAGCATACGAAAGAAATTGCAAAAGATGTTGTTTTGAGAATCAAAATGCTTGGAAACAAAAAATTAGCACTATGTTAAAGATTGCTAAGTAATTGATTGGTTGTATATGCTTTAGGCCTACATCCATCCACACAAGACACGAGAGTGGAATTGAAGAGCCAACAAATATGTATATAAATTATAAAAATAAGGTCAAACAACTCTTTGCTGGTAAACTCATGTCCACAAGGTACCAAAACTTTCTCATCTTGTGTTTTATTGTTTTAACCCAATGTAGTACACGACAAAATGGCCATAACCATATATCTAAAACAATTAGCGATCTACAATTTTTCCAAAGGCTCTCTATGTCTTCCTCTTCTACCTCTTTCTCTTTTTTTCTGATTTGCTTCTACATCTTTCTCTTAAAGAATTCTTCTCATAGACCTTGTACATTTTTGTAGCATTTTTGGGCTTTAGTCCTCTAATCTTCCACCTTTCTTCTTTCAAAGGTTAAGAAACGGATATTGCAATGCAAAACCTTATTGACTGTGTGCATTGCCATAGGCATCCAAAGATTTTGATATGTTTTGGCCATTGTTTGGTCAATGAATGCCATGGGGTAGCACGCAAGTAAGTAGTACTACAAGGTTGGCATGTTATGTTGGTCAACTTTCAAGGGGCAGGACAATCTAGAGTTGGGGCAGCCTCCTCTGTACAAAAGCAAGTCTACATGCCTTTGATATATATCTACAAACACACATATATACAAGAGAGAGACAGAGACAGAGACAGAGGGAGATAGACACCTCCCTCAAATATAAGTCGGTTCTGTCAGAAATCCCATGAAGTTTTTTGTTAGTTTCTCTCACCATTACCTTTACATGTCTTATCTTCACTCTTTCCTCTAAAAGTTCCACCACTCCTGAATCTTCTTGTTCTCTCCCCAGCCCACATGCTTCCATCTGTTCCCAACTTTTATTTTTCCTAATATTAGCCTCTTCCTCTCTCTATGAACCATCCCAATTTTCTCTATGTTTCTATCAAGCACTCCGAGGTTAGCTTCCTGTTTTAATGTTCTACCTCCTCTCTTTGTATACTTGACGTCTCTCTCTCTCATTGTTTTTCTATCTCTTCATGTCTTTGTTCATCAAGAAAAATGCAGTACTCAGAAAACAATAATTTGTTGGGTGAAAAAACTTGTTTGATACAATGCCTCACTAAAGTATGAATAGTATGCATCGTCCTTTTATGAGCTAGAACCAAGTAATGCACAAAAAAAAAACTCACAAGACTTGTATGATAAAAACTCCAATCTTAAATGCTTCAAATCCTTTCCTCAACACCCTATCCAATGAACCAAGAAATTCCAAAGAATGATACTTTCAACCATCAACGTAAATCGGCATGCCACACTATTTCAACTCGGACTGTCACATTATTTTTCTTTCCATTTTTTGTTTTTAGATAGCACCCATAGTTATGTTTGTCAGCTTAATATTGTAATCATATCTACTTAGGATAATTTCACTTTGACGTAGCCAAGTGACGAGCATGAAGCCAACTATTCTTTCTCCTTTCAAGGGTGAGGGGGAGGAGTAGTAAGGTAAAAAATCATGAGTTTGTAGCTTGAAATACCAGGATCAGGCTCAAAGTATCGGTCCGTCCCAATACAACTCGTTTCCACGTTTCGTATAAATCATGAGTCTCACAATCAACTCGGCCAAGTCGTCAGAGACATATCCGAGTTAACTCAAGTCATCTGAGTCATTATCATCGAAACGGTTGATATCGTTCCGCAACACCACGATATGATCTTAATCTCAAGTCATGCTTCTTCTATCTGTATTTAGTGACCAATGTCCCATATCATTCCACTACACAACGACCGGTAGTGCCTTCTGAGTCGATGGCTGACACTGCAACCTTGAACTATGAACAAGATAAGTCCACTACTTGGCCAAGTGATCAAATGCTATGGCTACAACGAGTGGGAACACGCATGATAAATGTTCAACCGTACAAATTATATATAGGTGAAACCAACACTAATAATTTATGTATAGTGAAATTCCAAGATATTGGATTCAACCATTAAACACAAAATACTTAAAAGAAGTAGTGTCTAATCAAGGAGATGGTAAGCCATGCAATCTAAATCAATCTCACTTAGCAGGTGGCTTACTATTGTAATTGAGAGCATATAAAGATATGCACTATCCAAAACACTTAAACAACAGAGTTACACTGATGTAGCATATATGGATTTTTAACAATTAACACAATCCAATCTTAAAAGCAGAGCAAGTATCATTTCTAATGCAACATTTAAGTGTCCATATTTGGTAGCACTTTGTATATAATATGAGCATGAAGAACACAACACAAATTATCTCCAACTTGCATTGATCAGTCCATCCAATGGTAGTTGGTCCTCTCTGCCTATGTAATTTACATACATTGAGCTCATTTGAATCCAGTTTGCCTCGTGAAGCGATAGAGATGAGAAACAAACTTGAATTACCAAATTTAATATAGGAGTCACACATGTGAAAGGAAAAAATATAGAAGCCACACTTTACAGAACACAAAATTCAAATCGGAAATCACGTCAACATAGCAAATCACAATTAAATTGTTTCTAATCATCTCTCACTAACTCATCAATTATTTATAAAAAGCAATGGGGTGATAAGGGTTAGGATGTCATCCATCCCTTTTCGGATATGTAAATGACATCAGTGTCATTGATTTTATCTAAGACATAATATAGAATGCATAAGAACTTCTGCAAAAACTTGTAAACTAAATGATGAGGGAAACGATCTTTGGCAAGGCAATCATCTTCTATTATTTCAAAAAACCGACTCAACAAAAAGAATAGTGACGGTTTTAATATAGAACCAGTAAACTACAATGAGCCTCAAGATTACTATCATGCAAGTTGCTTCCAAAACATATTTCCTACAATTAAAAATAGTTCTACCATTCAACAAAATATTTGTGCAG